TAGAGAAGCTGGAATTGACGTCTCAACCAGATGGACAACCGAGTTGGATTTCAGTGGAAATGTGAGAGAAACAATAGCATTATCCAGAAATGCTCCTCCTGGACCCCCTCCATTATGTTCAATATGTCAGCACAAGGCACCTGTTTTCGGAAGCCTCCAAAGTGGTTCAGCTATGCTGAGTTGGAACTTGCAACTGGAGGATTTTCACAAGCCAATTTCTTGGCAGAAGGAGGATTTGGATCTGTACATAGAGGGATTCTTCCGGATGGACAAGTCGTTGCTGTCAAGCAACATAAATTGGCCAGTTCTCAGGGTGATCTTGAATTTTGCTCGGAGGTTGAAGTCCTGAGCTGTGCTCAGCATCGAAATGTTGTTATGCTAATTGGGTTCTGTATAGAGGATAAGAGAAGGCTACTGGTTTATGAGTATATATGCAATGGCTCGCTAGATTCTCATTTATATGGTAATTTCTTATGCTCCTGCACCAAATATTGTCTTGATTGAATTATACGCTTGTATTGGCATGAATTTGTTGAAGTTATTTGACATACAATGTTTCTATAGTCGATGAACTCCTTAATTTTCGTATATCTGTCCAATCTCGAAGCATATTATTGACTAATGGGTAACAAGTTCAGACATATTGGATATTTTTGTATTTCAAACTATCGAGAGCAAACTCTTGAGTGTGATAGATAGAACTTAGATGCACAAGCAACTTCAAAAAAATTTTTGCTGCTTGAAATTATTCAATCCAGAAGCGTTCTTAGACCTTGGATGAAGTAGGATTTTTGTTATTCTTAAAATCTACAAGCATGCTGAATATGTATATATCATGGTCTTTTTAGGCTGAACACAATTGGTAAAATTGTCTTTTTATGTTATTTCAGGGCGACAACAAAAACCATTAGAGTGGTCTGCAAGACAGAAAATTGCTGTTGGAGCTGCCCGAGGGCTGCGATATCTCCATGAAGAGTGCAGAGTTGGTTGCATTATCCACCGTGATATGCGGCCGAACAACATCCTCATTACACATGATTTTGAACCACTGGTAGTGTATAAATTACCTCCATTTACATGTTAGTCTTGTATTTTACAAAAGAAAGTCATCTCAACCAGTATTTTTATCCGTAGCCAAAGTTCTTTTTTCTTGTAAATCTTCATTTGGCAGATAGTTTTAGAACTGTTAATACGTTAAGAAGTCACTATAGAAATTGGAACATTTGGATAAGTCTTGCTTTAATGATATACGAAAATTAATTTTTTGAGGTGCATGGATTTTCTCATTTCCAAATCCAAACATGATTGTTTTGTAATGAATTTTATTAGGTTGGTGATTTTGGACTAGCAAGGTGGCAGCCTGACGGAGACACAGGTGTTGAAACTAGAATAATTGGAACATTTGGGTAAGTCTTGCTTTAATGCTTGATTAATTTGATGTTCTAGCCTGTGCAATGCAAGCATTCAAGCTCTATTCTGCCTATGTAGGTATTTGGCACCAGAATATGCTCAAAGTGGACAAATTACTGAAAAAGCTGATGTTTACTCCTTTGGAGTGGTATTAGTTGAACTTGTTACAGGACGAAAAGCTGTGGATCTCACGCGACCCAAGGGACAGCAGTGTCTCACTGAATGGGTAAGTTAAAGGACACTAAGATAATATTATAACCTCATGACTGTTTTATATTGGCATCAAGCAAGACCATATCATAAGCTTTCTTTTTTTTGCGCTGCTTCGCCTCAAGTAATCCTGAACAATTGGACATTAAACAGGCACGCCCACTATTAGAAGAATATGCCATTGAGGAACTGATTGATCCAAGGCTGGAAAATTGCTATTCAAGGCATGAGGTCAATTGCATGCTGCATGCTGCATCATTATGCATTCGCCGAGATCCTCACTCTAGACCGCGTATGTCACAGGTAAAGGGATATTTTGAACAGATCTTTTTGTTGGACTTGGATTCAAAAGTTTACATTACATATTATTTAGAAGATTTTAACACAACAATTGAAGGATAATCATTTAAAGTCAATAGGACAAGGATGAAATCACCAATCCAAAAACGATTGGTAAATGTCCCCAAGGAGATCAAGCATTTCACCTTCTCTCCTTAATTGATATAATCATTATCTCGGCACTTCATATTCCCAAAATCGATCCACCAGATGATGACAAGGCCACTAGAATCTGAGAATGGGAAATCAGAAATGTGTTTTATAATATTAGATATATTGAAGGCAATTATTCTCAAGTTAAATGTCCTGTGATGGGAAAAACTTACGCGGCAATGATATTTTGATATCTTGAACGCCTAAATGTTCTGTTGTTTGGATTCTCCTAATCACTTTTGCTTCTTTGTTCTAGGTTCTCCGAATACTGGAGGGTGACATGGTCATGGAAACAAATTACATTTCACATTCCGGCTGTGATGTGGGAAACCGAAGTGGTCGAATCCGCGCAGGGCAGTACCATTACAGTGGTCCCTTGCTAGAGGAGTCACTGGAATCGTTCAGTGGGAAGCTGTCTCTAGAGAAATACAGGTCCTCCTCTCATTGGAGAAGGGACAAGGTTAGAAGGACTGCACGTGAAGATATGTAAAGTGGTTCCCTACTTCTCACATTGACGGTGGTCTCTCTATCACGATAGGCCCTACTCTTCTGTAGTTATCTATCTGTTTCTATGGAATGCCATCTATTTTTGCATCTGTATAGTGGAGAGAAAAAAGTAGGATAGATATATCAAGTCCCCCCCCCCCCTTGATTTTTTCATGAAGTTAGCTAGTGTCTAAATGGCCTTGATCAGATCTGACTCTTGAAAACATTTGTGGTCTTAAAATGTCCAAATAACTTCTTGTTATGAGCTTCAACCTCTCTCTACCACTATCTGTATCTCTCTCTTTCTCTGGAGTCAATGCATGTGCATGCAGGTACTGAGAAGAAAACAAAGCCTTAGCTGAGACTTGTCATCTGAAGTAGCAGACAGAGAGATAATGATAATGTGAAAATCACAGCTATGCATTACAAAGCTTAGCTTCAATGGGGAGGGGAGGGTAAAATCCAGAAATGTCACTTTGGAAGTTTCAACTTTTGAAACATGTAATAAAACAAAGCAATCTTGGTTGGCTGATGATGACAGGCCTGAGAGGTGTTCAGAGTTTGTGGGGATCAATTCAAAAGACATGTCAAACGTCTTGTTTCTGTGCGTGAAACGGGACCGGAGCATGTCCTATGGAACCGACCCTACACGGCATCCTGCAGTACTTCTGAATAATTCTGATTCTTGCTTTTATTTTCCTGCTTATAACGGATGAACATCAACAGAAACTTTGCCGAAAATTAGATTTAAATGTTGACTCTTGTTCTTTTTTGGGATTAAAAGGTCAAAATTAAATTTACCGTCCTTTCAAGTAAATTTTCTCTCCCAACCATCAAGGCTCCCCTCAAACTCACACTAAAACTGCCTCGTCCAATACTGGATTTTGAAACTAGATTTAACCTTAGTAAGCCTAAAAAACGGACTCAAAAACTTTTTATCGCCCAAAGATAATATTATTACTGATTTTATAGAATATATCACATGTCTTGATTCTTACTAATTTATTGCATCTATATATTTTGTAAAATATAAGTAGAATAATAAGATTTTCAGTTTCTCATGTTTGTCTCAACTATTAATTTAATCTCTCAAATTCAATTTTTATCAATTTGATCATTTATATTTTTTAAAATTATCACGTTAGTCCTTTAAATTTTAAAACACAAGTTGGCATTTAAATTAGTCTAACTTGTAGAGGATATTGATCACTTTACCAGTATATGTGGTTAAATGAAAAAAAATTAATCTCAAATCAATTTAATTATTCACGTTGCATTTTGTTCTTTTATTTTTTAAAATTTTTGAATTTTTTTTCACCTAATTAATAATACTTCCTTTTATTAATTTACTTTCATTAATATTCTGTTATCCATATAAATATATTTTAATAGTGTTACATCCTCTTTAAATAATAAAAGACCAAATTAATAGCTAAAATAAGTTTAAATGTTCAACTCAGTAAAATTAAATTTAAAAAATCAAATTAATTACTGAACTAACTTGAGATGTTGAGAGTTTCATTATCCCAAAACTAAAGTATATTTTTAATTTTTTAATTTTATATAAAATTTTAATTTAATTCTCTAATTTTATAAAGTATCTTTTCAATGTTTGAACACTTGATGCTCTTAATTTTAAATGATTATTTTATATCAATCATTGTTATATTTAAAAATGAAACTTAACATGTCTAACATTTAAAAATATTTTGTTAATATTTAAAAATTTAATGTTTAAATTTTTTATAATGAAACTAACAGTATGAGGGATAAAAAACTGAAAAAACACTTTATGAAATTAAAAAAATTAAAATAAACCTCATATGAACTTAAAGAATTACTGATATACTTTAATCTTATCCCAACATAAAATTTCAAAGATTATGACAACACTAGCTTTCAAAAAAATAAAGATAAACATAATTTTTAATTATTATATTTTACTCGTGTTTTGCTTTTAATCTTTATACTTTTTTAAATATTTTAAATCCATACACTTTTATTTTTATTATTTTTAATCCCTCTGTAAACAAAATATAGATACCTTGAAAAAATTAAAAATAATAAAAAAACAAAAATGTAAGAATCCAAAACACCCAAAAATATATATATAAGAACCAAAAGCAAAATGCGAATAAAATACAGTGACAAAAAATTATGTTTACCCAAAAAATTAAATTAAATTAAATTAAATTAAAATTAATACTAAATAGTGTGCACAACTAAAATTTTATTTAGAAAATATCTATAGCAATACATTTCAAAAGTCTTCGAACTCAAACACTCGAGAACATAACGGATATACAATTGTTAATTGGATAATTGGATATACAATGGAGAACTCAAAAGTCTTCGAACTCAAACTCTCGAGAACAAAACGCATCAAGGGACACAACGGATAATTGGAGATACATAACGGATAAGATGTTTCTTCATTAATTAGTTGGTCACTAGTCTTACTTCAGTAACGTCCACCCCAAAAATATTTCAGACACACACTTCTTCAATGTTTACATATAGCTCCGCTTAGAATCTTAAATATAAGAAATATGACAGCGGATCCCAATTATCCATAATGACCTTCTAAAAAAACTATAATTTTTTTTTTAAAAAGGAAAAAGGTCTTTTTTTTTGTTGCCGCCTGATCGCCTAACGCTTCCTCATTTTGGATCTTGCAAATCTAGAAAGCAACAGACAGGAAGATGGAATGAGGGAAGGGTCAGAAAGATATCAAATCTAAATAAATCAAAATAAAAATTGATGAGAAATATAGGATTAGAAGATGATACTCTATGTGCATGCCACCCCGATCTGATGATGACAACGAACTTCCCTGAAGCTCCTCCATGACCTTAATAGCTTGCTCAATTTCCTGGTCAAGGAAGCCAAGGTTCAGAAGTAGATCATCAATAACATCACTAGTATTTGGGAAGAAATCATAGTCAATAGTAAATGTTCTAATTTATCTTGTTTCATTTTCATAAAGGTCAGCTTCCATTGTGAATATAAGCTGACCTTTAGGGGGGGGGGGGGATTCTGAGACAAATCAGACAAGCAAAAGTTATAATATGAACATTTTAAAGATGGAGTGCAATATTTTCACCTAACTCTGCACAAGTCTTGCCTGATGCAATATAACATTTTGGAGCCTTCCGAGCTACAAGAGCCCTATGTTATATTAAGAGGTCCATGACAGCCTATTAGCTGATTCTGATCAATGTTCAACGCCAGGAATAAGCATATTACCTATTTATATGAGACCATAAAAATTGATGAGGGTTGAAAGCCAAATGATTTCTTATGCTTAAATCCTGATTAATAGTCCGTTAATTAGGGCAGTTGAGAAAGTACAAGTAGCAATCAAGCATCCAGATTCCAGACCAATTGTTTCTCCCAAACTGAAATTGGCAAGATAATTGGATTTATTTTTCCAGAAATTTGTTCCAAAACTGATGTCATGACTCATAACTTCAGAGAACATTGTCACTGCTAATGTCATGTTATACCATCAGCTCCAACTTAAAAGTAGAGAATCACACAGGTTACGACTGTCCCGAATGAAAATAATCATGTTACTCACCGCCTCTGCTTCATAAAATTATACAATATTACAAAATAGCCTACTAAATAAAATATTCCGTATTTTCCCGAAAGAACTGATAGTTACCCCAAAATCAGCAAAAGCAACAGGCATTCCTCCTCTAGAACGCATTTTGACCATGTTGAATCCAGGATACCTGGAACATTGGATAGATAGCATTGAGTTTTTTAATTGCAAATCAAGTAGATAAATGGGAACATTGCAGCAGGATCCTGCAGATCCATTTTAATAACAATCACAGGGAAGTCTCCCCCTATTTAACAAACAAATAAGAGAGAAGCAGCATCTCACACAGAAAAAGCTTGCTTCAATTCACTTTCAGTGCAGTTTGGACCTAGATTTGCGATGAAAAGAGTGGAACATGGTCCTCCTTCGGCACCCTTTTCTTGCGGCTCCTGTGGATCCCAAGTTAAAAAGATTTAGAAAGGCCTCTGCGAGGAGCAACATCTTTTCCTAAACACAAATTTTCATCCGGAATATATTTATGTTCAGGTTGAAACACAGAAAGTAGGAATTCTATGCACTCATTTTCCAGATGCAAAGACATAGGATGTATTGCACAAATCTATATTCAGTAAGCAGGGGAGGTCCATTATATTACTGGTTTTCACTTACATACACATGTGAAGCATCATCAGAACTAACTGCAGTCTCACCACTGCATACGAGCAGAGAAAGCAAAGGATTTAGTGATGCGCAACAAAATACTATAGTCATCTTATATTTAAGCTAATAAGCTGCGAAACTAAAAATTTTGGATTTTTTTTACGATGAAAAATTCATAATTGATTGTACTCTCAACCTTTTCACTGATGGAACATCACCATGGTTGCTGTGATTCCCAAGAGGTTCTTCAGATTCACCATCACCTGCATAAACAAGATGCGCAAAATCGTGAAGGTGAGCAACAGATCCAAGAAGAGCATCACCTACCCAAAATTTAATAGAGGGAAAATACATGAAGGAACATATTGAAGCCCTAGATGGATTGCAAAATACTCATTCCATCAAGCTGGAGCGAGCAAGATGATAGCCATTCTGAACATAAGATATCTACTTTGCCTTGAATTTATATTTAATGTAGTTTTACCATCATCACTTGATGACGCCTGAGCATCAGCATCCCCTTTAGATCTTTTATCAATAACAACATAGGCTCCACCACCTGTGCAATGTAAAAGTTGGATAACAATTGGGGGAAGTAGTTAAAGAAGCTGACTTTCTCCATAATTCATCAAATAAATATATATTCATTTAACAAGAGAAGTGGTAAAATTTTGAAACGAGCATGTATCTAGATGTGTATTTTAGTTTGATAAAATTCATTAATTCAGTCCTCTTCCAAAAATACAAACCTGGTTTACGCTTTCTCCTTGAGTTTGACCTGGCAAGCTCAATGTGTAGAACAGACCCAGCTTGAGGGTCAAATTTGGTACCCTAAAGATCATCAAAAAACTAGGAAATCAGATGTCAGAACAAATTCCAAAGAATCTAGGTTCTTATCAATAAAAGTTAATCCTTTTTTCCCAGATTTTATACTAGAGCATAAAATAAGAAAAATGAATTATAAACCCATGTATGTTCAATCTAAAGGCAAGAACTGCAAAGGAAATAAATAAATTCATAGAAATCAGCTTCCAGCAACATTTGTAATTGAATTTTACATCCTAACTTCGTGGTCTTTTTATTGTCAGCAAACCTTCAAAAAAAAAAAAAAAGAGGAAAAGGGTTTACAATAGATGCTTACATTCAATGCATGCAATGCCGCCATTGCTGTTTGATGATTGAAAAAGGTAGCAAATGCAACAACCTGTGAATATTAATAAGCATCAAACAAAATATCCTCCACAGAACAAAATTGTCACGGACAAAGGGCCATGAATAAGAAAAAGACAGAGAGATAGTCAAAAGAACATATCCACTTCATGTTTCATCAGTAATACTTCACATGCTCATTGTTAGACTTCACTTGCAGTTCACTGCTGTATTTAAGAAAAATGTTTTTGTGTTGACTTGTTTTGCAAATATTCACTGATTTGCTTCATCATGAGTTTTTCTTCTTCTTTTTTCTTTTTCTTTTTCAGGGGCTTGTACATAATACTTGAGACACTGTTAAGCTATACTCTCTCCATTCAAAAATGTAAGACATTTTTAGTTTTTCAAGGTGTAATCATTGCCTTTTTTCCAAAAGTATCTCTATTAAATAAATCACCTTATATTTATTTTAGGGTAAGGCACCCTATTAAATAGGGATAAATATGAAAAGATAGAACTAGTTTAAAGACAAAAAACTACTTTATTGAAGGTGAAATTCGATTAAAAATGCCTTATATTTTTTAATAAAAGAAGTATTCAATTAGCATAAAAGAAAAAATTACCAAAAAAGTGAAGATGAAGACTTTGATAGATATATATAGATATAACCAGCCGATTTTTAATGAAACGTCAATCAAGAAAACAAATAGAATATAATGCCAAAACTGAGCACTTGATCATTGGCCAAACCCATAAATTAATTTCTATTCCACTCACATCACAAAAAAATAAGAGTACTGAGTAGTGAATTCAAGTATCAGCCGGTAAGATTTTTGGTAGAATAGAATGTGTAACAGTCCTATTTTCCTTCATCTTCTAGGTAAATGGAATGTATGAAAATGGGCGCTTTTAAGGGGGTAAAAGTGAGAGCGATGTCTGTATCTACCGCGTATTGAACAGTCATAATAGACAAAACAATATGCTAAACTTTAAAGTACTAATGGATACTTCAAATCAGAAACCAGGTCAATGAATATGCTTCTAAGTTACTGACATTTTGGTGAAGAAAGAGCATTCTCTTAAGAGCAGTGAATGAACCTTCACTATAATTCTAAAAATGCCCGTGCCAAGTTTCCCACCCAGCCGATATGGAGTTTAGCAATCATGCCACTGATCGTATAGAGTATAGAGGCATCCACTCACAACGTATTCAGTATTATCATGAAAAGAAAAACTCTCACATTGATTTTGCTTCCCGATTCATAACATAACCTAAGAAAGATAGATTATGAACATATCTTACCAGAAAAAATGAACCTAGAAAAATAAAACATGCTTAAAGTTCCTTTAATTTGGAAACCAGAAAAAGTCGAAAAAGCATCAACATAGTTTGAGTGGTCACATAAGGTTCACCAAGAAATAAGAGTTTTATCCACTAGACAGAGAAGTAGTAACGTCAGCTCGACTTAGGCTCATCTTTGTTAATTTCAGGCAACTCAAAAGCTTGAGACAGAATTCTCGTTTCATTAACTCTTATTGAGGCGGTCTGCGATATCCTAAAATACTGAAATGAGCAAAGAAGCTAGAATGTTTAGGTAGATTGAATTCGGACCCAAAAATACGAACTTCCAAAGCGTTCTCTAGAAGGAAACAGGCCCTGAAATAATCTAAATAGAAATAAGACAGAGAGAGTATGAACCTGGTTGCCGCGGCCAGTATACTTGAGCTGACAAGAGTCGAAGCCGGGACGACGGCGGAAGAGGTTATGAATCTCACGCGCCTTTACGTCGTCAGGGAGGCCCGATACGAAAAGTGTGTTGATGTGGCTCCGGTCATCTGGTTGGTGGAGATAATAGGAATCGAAATCCAACGGCTGTTGAGCCATTCACGGTGGACTAAACTATTGGGGGCTTTCACCGAATTGAAAGGATCAAAACGAATGACAGCGACACGGGTACGCCGCCAACGGCCGTGTCAATTGCAATCTCCGGCGAAGCACTTTAATGCATAATTCGAGGCTTTGAGCGTCGGAGAAGTGGGCATAAAGATGTCCGCAGCACACTCTCTCAGCGAAGGGAGGGCCAGCTCAACATCAACAAGGGGAAATGTAGTTTAGCTAAATTACACATTTGGACTCCATGTTTTAATTAAATTTTCGTTAAGCCCCCCTATTTTCCCGTCATCTTCCTCTTCCTTTTAATACCAAATCTTGATGAATACTCCCCATATTTTAAATTAAAATACTTTTAAATAAAATTTTATATATCAATAAATTTTATTAAATACACTTAATATAAAATAAAATATAAATTTTTAAAAATATTTATTATTTAATACATTAAAAAAAGATAAAATTAATTATAAAAAGAAAAAGAATAATATTAAAAATGATGTATTTAATGAAACTTTAATACACTTAAATATCTTATATTTAAGATGAAAATTTTTTTTTAAAAATGTTCTATAATTTAAGACGAAGGGAGTACTATTCTATAGGCTTGTTTATTAAAAAAAAAGAACTTACAATTATTTTTTATAAATAGATCTAAAAAATAGTATAACTTAAAGTTAATCTTGTATTATAAAAGTAGTCAAACTCATATTTAAAAATCAATGTAAATTTCATGGAATACAATTTTACTTTAGTTCATAATTTGTTTAAAAAATGAATTAGTTTTTCACAGTTTTTATTTCACAGATGTGGATGTCTATAATCTTGAGGTATAAGCTTTGAAGCTTTGTCACTTCATTCATCTTGTATTTTGAAGAACTAACAAGCGTGTGAGATAAATAAATAAGATAAAGAAGGTCTTGCCAGGTATAATTTTTTTATTTTTATTTTTTATTTGTTTGGTCAACGCCTGGTGAGAATGATTATGTGCTTGTTAGGCGTCTCATTTGATTGGCCCAAATTATAGTTGGCATAACTAAAAACTAGCTAAAAATGAAAAAAAAAAATGTTTAGGTAGAAGTAATTGGTAAATGAGCTTTTCTTCTATAACTATAGTTATAATTTGTATTATAACTTAAAGTTATAATTTAAAGTTAACCTTGTATTATAAAAGTAGTCGAACTCATATTTAAATATTAGTGTAAATTTTATGGAATACAATTTTAATTTAGTTCATAATTTGTTCAAAAATAAATTAGTTTTTCACAATTTTTATTTCATGGCTGTGGATGTCTTTAATATTGAGGTATAAGCTTTGAAGCTTTGTCGCTTCATTCGTCTTGTATTTCGGGGAGCTAACAGACGTGTAAGATAAATAAATAAAATAAAGAAGGTCTTGCTAGGTACAATTTTTTCTTTGGTCAACGCCTGGTAAGAATGATTATGTGCTTATTTGGCATCTCATTTGATTGGCCCAAATCATAGTTGGCATAGCTGAAAACTAGTTAGAAATGAAAAAATATGTTTAGACAGAAGTAATTAGTAAATGAACTTTTCTTCTATAACTATAGTTAGGTTGAAAGTTAGTTTTATCTGTTGGAACAATCAATGCATTTTTAAAACATTATTATACCATTATTTATGCTTCCCCCATTCAATCGTATCCAATGCTCATACCTTAGAAATTATGCTCTTTGCATAGTTATGTATTAGTTCAGAAATTTGACATTTATATATTGTATTTTTAATTTTTACATTTATAATTATAATTTTAATATTTTTTTCTTAAATTTACCAAACTATATAATTATAATATATATATTATATAAAATTTATGTCCTCATTTTTCATTTTAGATGTAAACTTACTTTTTAATTATATCATCCAAACACATTTCTTTTTTGTCAAACTAACTTTTGTATAAAAGAGTATATAAACATAAATCATATTATAATAACTGATATTTATCCTAACTTTAGTTTAGAAACTATAGTCTGTGCAAATTTTAGTTGGCAAAATATTAATCCAAACAAGCCCTATGAAGCATGAGAAACTAGGCTTAAATTTTAAAACTTGATAACATGAAGATGGCATAAACAGAAGGCAAGGTTCTGTGATGTCAATATCAATCTTGATCATGTTGGTCAAAAATAAAATATCAATCTTGATCATGAGGAGTTACGCTTTACCTATTTTGGTAGATGGCCAGCTATGCTTGTAGGCTTATTTAATTTGTAGATGCTTGTATCCGAGCTATATTATAATGGAATAAGAATTTGAATTTCACAATAGAACACTTGGGAGATATTTCTGACTTAGGATCCCCGATTCTCATTTACAATGGGGACAGGAACTACATAATCTACTATAGAATTCAGTTATTAAACATATATTCACTCTCTTAAAATTATTCAAGACAGCTCATATATCTAAATATAATACTGTGAACATTACTACTAAACTTTCTAATTTTTCATTCTTTGTTAAAGCTTTAGTTTGATACTCTTCCTTTTTTATGGTAAATATTCTTTTATCGGGGGCAAAAAAAAAAAGGTAGATAGAATGGAAGCCAAATGAAACAAGGGTTGAGAGATGCAAGTGATAGAGCATAGTTAGACTCAAAAAGATGTTTTCACAAGCAAGACAATGATTAAATGAGTGTTTGCGTTCTTGGGGGCTCCATACCAGGGAGACAATGGCCCAATTTAAACGGACCAGGAGATCCATTGAGGAGTCCACTTGCCATTTTTTTAAAAGATATAACTTTCACTCTAGCCCACAACATGGGTGTTCACAAGAAAGGATGAAATTTAGACATCCCCATCATATATCTCATCCCAAAAAATATCAAGACTCAAATTTTATTAAGAGTTGTCCCGTCCAGTAGGAGTCGGGGTGGGACTAAAACATTCCCGTAACTACCCCTACTTGCTTTAGTTACCCTTACTTGTGTCTTTAAATAATTAGTACTACTCAATCAACACGTATAAAGAAACATGCTTCTACATATATGATTAATCAATTGAGCTTCAATACAAACGTATAGATATAATATGAGTCATTCAAATATAAGAGCCCATGTGCATGTACAAGCTATTTGATTAGAGCGTATTATAAACTTAAATTATAATAAACAATAACAACCAGGCAAAGATTTGAAAAATAATCTAATTAGATTACTTAAATGATAGTAATTTGGGTTTGCATTTTTAATTCTTTAAATCAATATTAATAATTATGAAAAAACATCTCACAACTTACCTGACTAGACCAAATATCATAGAGCAACCCAAAATTAAATAAAGTAAAAATAAACAAAAAATATAAGCAAATAAACAATAAAAATAACATAATAATTAATATATATATATATATAATATATATAATAAAAGGAATATATATATGATATTGGGACAGGATGGGACATCTTGAAGAGCATCCTGAGTCTCATCCTATCCCCTTTCTTGTCTCGTTCCAAAGATATCCCATCTTGATTTTTTTGGCCATGACAAACTCATCTTGACATGATTGAAACAAATACGGGCAATTAAAATGAGTACAACCCTGGATACCCATACCACAACACTTGCAAAAATGACATTAGGTGGATACTTAAAAAAAAAAAAAGCCTAATATGACCACCTTCTACCCAAATTAATTTAAACTCTCAAAAAGTAAGATTATTATTACCAATGATGTTCTTGCAGGTACTTCAAGAATGCTTTAACATATTTATTTAATATGATTGGATATTTTAAATTTAAAACTTTAAGATAAGTTGATTTAACTTCCTGATTGAATCAAAGATAAAAAGTTATCATAATGTTTATAGTAGATGTGATGTTCTTACATTTTTTATCCAATAATATTTTGTATTAAAAATAAAAGAATAAAAAAATTATTTGTAAGGTGGTGACGAACACTTTTTTTCGTAAACTGGTGACGAACGCTTTATTCATCGACAGTTTGTTTTACTATTTATACAATAATTTTTAAAACAATTGATATATTTTTATTTTTAAATTTTTTACCTGGAAATTATTTAAATTGTTTATTAAACATATAAACAATTCTGTGTGTGTGTAAAAATCACATGCCTGGGTCATAAAAATTTTGAAAATTGGCACATGCTACCTGTCTGCATACAATTCTTAATCAAAGATGGACCCCTTAAAAAGGTTACAATTGATGTGATGACATTACAAAGCATTGCAACTTTTTCTTCACTTTGTTAACCCATATAATTGAAGGAGTCATTCTGTTTTTGGCCTGAATTGAAGGAATCATTCACATTTTAGATACGTTTTTTCATTTTAAAAATTCTTTGCTATTTATCAAAAAAATACTTTGCAATTTTTTTTTAATAAACCAGATTAATACGAAGGAGCACGTCAATAGTTGGGGAAAAAGTGGACACCACGTTAATCAAGACTATAAAAACAATGTATGATGAATTAACACGTTTTTTTTTTTGTTTTTTAAATTGAGTTTATAAAAATATTTATGCCCGCCGGCCATTTTATTTATAAACCTTATTTTGACATTTGGACATGGATAGATATGATCTTGATAAGTTTTACTATTACTATAACAATTACTATTAATGTTAATATTACTATTACTATCAATTATTAAAGATGTCTGACCTTAAGCCAATTGTTATCTTCTTGTAGAGTTCGTTTACTCTAACAACTCTTCCTGCAGCCCCTTGAGTTCCGTGTGATGTTTCTTGTATTTATTTCACATATTCTCAAAATTATTTTTAAAACTGTGTTATATGTTATATCAAGCTATTTTGTGAATGAATTGCGAAACATTGGTGTCACTAATTGTATCTCAGCAATAATGTTTTGTCGCTCATGTGCTGTGATGAGTTGTTAGAATATTTTAAAAATCTAAGATAAAGGAGATTATTTTAAAAAATCAAACCCATTATCCAAAATATATAAAAAAAATTATAATTTAATAATTCAGAGTACTCAATCAAAGTCAAAGTATCATTTCAAATTCATATATATATATATATATATATATAAATAATATAACAATGTAATATCTTCTGGCCAAAAAAAAAACCATGTAATATAATATGACATAAATTGAGCCAAATTTGTTAAACATTATAGAATTCTGCTGCCAAATATCAAAACTTTAACTCAGCTGCCAAGATGTTGAAAGCTAATTACAGATGAATTGTTGCAACTTTTTTTGGGGCAATGTTATTGGCAATACTCGCTCCCTTATAATAAATATAAGATATTTTTAATTAAATTAAGCTTCAAAAAATAATTAATTATTTTTAAACTAACATCACCTTTTCATATTTATTTTTATTTAACAAGATGTTTTATCTTAAAATAAATATAAAATAATTTATTTATTAGAGTCACTTTAAAAAAAAAGCACATTAATTACATCTTAAAATACTAAAAATATTTTACATTGTTTAATATCTCAACTATTAAAAAATGCTTTATATGTTTTAATGGAGAAAGTATATCATTGGTAAGTCCATGAAAAGGATAACATTTAAGTTTTGAAAAAAAAAATGAATTGATGACAATTTGGTTCTTAATAATTTTTTTTGAAAACTAATTTGCATATATTAATTTATATAGTTACAAATTCAAGAGTTTAAAATGTAAATAAAAATATTTAAATTCTAAATTTAATTCTTAATTTATGATTAAAATTCTTGCTCATAACTATTCTAATCAATATTTATAACTTATAAAAATTGATAGCGTATAAAATTGTCTCAATTGACGGTGTAGCATGAACCATTTATTACATTCACTTATAACATCTTCATAATACATTATATTATGTCATGAACAATAAATAATGTACACATTTTGATATCTTATTGGCCTTCCACTAGCCTGGGAGAGGGGTCTTTTTATTTTTTTTTCTCAATTTCCCTCCACTTCCCCCATCCTCATCATTCAAATTATTTTATTAAATAATTTTTTTAAATGACAAAATTAATGAATGATAGGGATGGGGGAAGTGAAGGGAAATGAAGAAAAAAAGAAATGGAGAGACCTCCTCCCAAAAAAAAAAATTATTGCAATCAAACAAGATCTCTATAGCCTATATCATGTTTTGGGGGGGGGGGATTTTTAGCTCAAAATAAAACAATACAATCCAAAGTCCCAAATTGTTAAAAAGGTAACAAAAGGTCCTTAACTGTGCCTTCTCCACACACAATCATAACTTTACATGGAGTCTCCCAACTCCATTTCAATTAGAATTAAAATGCAAATTTATCTTGCATTTTTTTAAGGAATGCAATTGATATTCTAAAATTTTAAAAAGTATAATGTTTCCCTATGCTTTTTAAAGTAGTATAAATTTTTCAAAACTAATTGTTCCCTAACATTGATTAACAAGTGGTGAAATTAATTAAATTTTTAAAATTTTATTCTCCTATATTTTTATTTTCATTTATAGTTAAATAAATAAATAGCCATTGCATCAATTGCTTGATCTATTTAAAAAATTTATGAATAAGATAACTCAACTCTTGATAGAATAAATTAAGAGAAAATAAAATAAAGAAATATTATGCTTGTCAATTCTGAACTCATTTACTAAATAAACAATTTACTTTTTATAAAAAAAATAATTTTTAACTACAAAATTATCCTTAACTTAAATGAATTCCTCACACATATAAACTCATTCTCAATCTATATGATTCTTAATATAGCATTTGAGTAAATATTTTTCATAATGCAACATTTAGATAATTTATCTTACTGTTTATAGCATACAAGTAAAAAAGTCATATTTCATAAATAAAAAAAGCAAAAAAAAGTCATAACATTGCATTAGTTTTAAAAATTTTAAAAAAATATTTCACTTTTTAAAATTTAAAATATCAATTACATCCTCTAAAAAGTTTAGAGGTGCATCTACACCTTAGTCCTTTCAATTACATTGCAATTGCCGTTTATCATCTCTTGAAGTATTTGGATTTTGCATTTAACAAAAAATATAAAATATACTAGAAGAATTTTTAAAAAAATGTCAAATGCATTTTCATTTTCTTCAAGACATTGGATCTTACTTGATATTAAGTACCACGTTATCTGGATGAATTTTTAATTTCGACTTTCTAGAAGCTTCAAAAAAAACAACCAATGGCACTACGAGTATCTATCAATTAAAGAAACGAGGGGGAAAAATAAAAATTATCAGCAGACCATCCACACATTATTCAGTATTCACCATACGACCCAACCCCATAACAATTTCTACACATAATCCCATTCCAAAAATAGAAATCAGAATTCACAAGGAAATCCAATTCTGCAGTTTCAAACTTGAAATTACCAACTAACAATGGAATGGAAGAGAGTAAAACTAAACAGAAGAATCAAGAAGAAGCACCAGTAGTAGCTACATTAGGCATCAATCCAGAAGCTTCTTCTTCATCCAGGAACAAATCATCGGTCTTTCTCAACGCCGCGTGCGCCACCAGTAATCCCGCTCCGATCAAGAGTGCCACCACTATATTGAGAGTCACGTTGGTCAAGAGCAGCAGTACGACGGTCAGCACGCCATAACGATCAGGACCACACGGTCATCAATCAGACGGCCGGCAATGACCAGCGGCTCGTCGCGGAGGAAATAGAGGAACAGCCAAGAGCTATGAGCACAACGAAGACGATGAGGGAGATCGGGTGCCAGAGGAGGCTGAGGAAGAGAATAAGGAGCACGACGATAGCGTAGTTCATACGGAAGTAACCGATGTTGACTCGAAAGCGCGCAATTGCGTCGGGGAAACCGGCAGGTAGGGCGAAGGATCGGAAATTGAACATGACCTTCCATGGGCGGCGAGTTCCAAGACCGGCTTGATTCTTTGCTTGGCGCGTGAGATGAACTCGAGATTTGTGGATGGGGAAGACGAAGTAGGGATGGTGCCATAGGTGGTCATGATTCTTCTGATTTCGCAGTACTAACTACTGAGAGATGAATCTGAGAGAAGAAGACGACGACGGAGAGGCGTTGAATAGAGAGGAATTCGATAAAGTATTGCGTCCAAAGGGGAAATGAAGCACAAAGGTTGCTCTTTGGGATTATGAATTTTTTTATTTTTTATTTCTATCTTTTTAACTTTGAAATTTAAATTTATTGGGTGGGTCACAACATGATTGATTGGCAATGGGCTTATCTCAATTGTTAATTAATTTATCAAGGGCTATAAAGAGCTACAGCTGTCTGTTGAGGTCTATAGTTTCACTTCAAATCAACACATTCCTCCAAATGAACAAGAACAATTAGTCTTGTTATTCATTGTATCAGACGAGAAATGGATAAAAAAGTGCGCCACAAATATATCTTAGGACTATTTTTATTTTATTATTTTATTGATAAAAAAATATGCAGGATTGAAAAGTAATAAATATGATATGCTAATTAATGATAAAAGGAACATGTCATTTCTTTGGAAGAATGCACCAAATCAAGATGTACATTGGACTTGAATATTCTAGAGAAAAAGAGAAAAGGCAGTGAATGTACTCACTTCATTTAAAAATATAAAAAAATTAAATATTAAAAAAATAAGATATTTTTTAAAAAAATATAATCATAAATATAAATATAAGGTCTTTCAAATATAATCATTATTTTTTTAAAAAAGTGACCATATTAATATATATTTATCATAGAATGTTTAATAGAGATAGATATAAAAACATAAAGTTAATTTGAAAGTAGGTGACTACTTTATTAAGGGTGAGATTTAATTAAAAATGCTTCATATTTTTTAATGGAAGGAATAAATGTTTATATTTTCTTAAATTTGACCACAATATAGTTCATTTTCTAACATTTGGTTTAAAATATAAACATTGAGTAGGTTATATATATATATTAATTATACCTTAATTATAATATACTCAATAATTAATGAGGGTATTTTAGTAAATCAAATGTTATATTTATTTCACTAAAAGTGTGATTAAAAAGATGTGAAATTTTTTATGAAATTAATATTTTAACCAATTTTTTAAAAAACATGAATTAATTAATAATAACTTATGTTATAATACGCAAGGAGTAGATATTTATTTCTTATAAGTCATTTTCAATGATTTATAAGTAAGGCTTTCATATTTTGTTATTCCTTCTGTTAAAAAATGTAAAGTATTTTTAAACGAATCTTATCTCTAATAAAGTAGTTATCTATTTTCAAACTAACCTTATCTTTTTATACTCCTATTAAACACCCTACAATAAATATAAAGTTATTATTAATAGAGACACTTTTAAAAAAGATAATGATTACACCTCAAAAGATTAAAAATATTTTATATTTTTTTAACATTTAATTTTTAAAAAAATAGTTTATATTTTTTAACACATAGAGTATTACTTATCAATATTTATAAGGAAGAATTGCACCTAAAGCCCTCAAAATCATGAAAATCGCATCTAATGTCCAATAAATTTAAATTGGTTCAGTAGAACCAAGGGCCTAAGGCCTCACATGCAATTAAGTTTCTCATGAAAAGTCGGAATTGCCTCTAGTCTAAATTGATTCAACCCTAAGTACCTCGCCAGTCGCAGCTCTCTCTTCCTCCATTTCTTGCTTGTTGAGATCTAATCAGCATCGCTGCAGCCTGCAGATTTTGTCCAGTCATCCTTCACTGTACTAATCATCTCTGTTTCTTCTCACTTTTTCCTCCATTCAAACTAAACATAGTCTCTCAACAATAACTCTTGAAAGTCCTGTTAATTTTATTTCTCACTTATATCAATTTATGATAAATTATTACATTGCTATTTGTAACTTTGTTTATTTGTTTTCTTTCTCCCGTTTTGTGTTTTTCTTTCTCTCAATTCGATATCAATCTAAATTCATATTTGTCATGTCTTTAAAATAATATCAGAGGGATATAAAGGCTCAATTGATCGTTTCATTTCACACAACCGGAGAAAACATATGAAAATAGCTCTGTTTTTTATGATATCAAGAGACGATGATGATGAAGGCTCAGTTTGTCATCAGGAAGAGATTCTACAAAAACACTCAATTATATTGTTTTCTGTTCGTAATCAATTCAACAATGTTTATTGGAAGAGGATTATATTAAAGGCTGAGGAGATTCTCGTAAGCTTTTTACTTCATTAGATTTCTTGAGAGGGTTCGGGTGTGTTTTGGATTTCAGTTAGTAAAATTGATTATAAAAAATTAATTAATATGAATGATTTAAGATTCTATTACATGATATATAATATTTATAAAATTAATTAATAAGATTAATTTTAATCAGAATTTAAAAGAAAAATTGAAAAAACCAAAATTTTTAAAAAATATATCAAACGCCCATGTTATATATTAAAATTAATTATGAATCTAAAATTATATTCAAAAAAAATCCAAACATATATTACATGTCAAAATCAATTATGGATTCAAAACTATGATTTTTTAAAAATATCCAACACCCCATACATTGCAAATTTAATTATGAACTCAAAAACCACAATTATCTCATAATTTACTATTACATGCTTTTCAATTTGATTTTTCAATTATACATTTCTAAAAATTTATTCAAAAATTGTATAAATTATTTTACAAATTATATTTTTTGGTTCATAATTGATTTTGACATAATAAAAGGTGTTTGGATATTTTCAAAAAAAACCATAATTCTATGTTCATGATTAATTTTAACATATATAATAGATGTTTGGATATTTTTAAAAAAACTTGATTTTGGATTCATAATTAATTTTAACATATTGTATTGATGTTTGGATATATTTTCACAAGACTATGGTTTTGACATTTGGAATTGGTTATTTGTGAAAGTTTATAAGTTTGACATTATTACATCCTAATCTAAAATTTCATGACATTAAGCTCATTTGTATTTAGAGTAACTGGAACAATATTGTTCCTCAATTGTCTAAATTGTTACAGTGTCGTAACAAACATTGACATTGATTATTAATTTGAATTAAATAATTTTATCTTTGAAGTATTCGCGAGAACTAGCATCTAAAAGTTGAATAACATAGAGCAATTAGTACTCTTGCTTTTTTTTTTCCCTACACATAACATCATGTTTAAGGTATCACATGTTTGCCAATTAGGTATTTATTGTGGTAAGAAAACTCTATTAACCCAGACTAGTAATTAATTAGCAATGTTGCCACGAATTATGTATATTTATCTTCACTTCGAATTAGGCACTCATCGACCAAAAACAAAAAAAACAACAAATCTCATTTTGCACCTATAGTCAACATAGAAAACATAATGCACATGTTTTGGTTAAAAAAGAAATGGATATTATTTGACCTGCTAACTAAAGATTCGTTAATAGAAAAGAAAAAAGTTTCTCATCACATACTAATTGTTTACTAACAGTAGCGTTGCCATAGATTATATATGTTTATCTTAGCTAGCTATAGGAATAATTTATCCTTTTTCACCAACAAATAGTGATAAACCATTAACAATACGCGCGTGCCCGTTTTTTATATATATATATATATATAACCTATAACAACATAATCATTAATACAAGTTGATAGACTTGTTTTTGTTGATGAAGAGTGGGCAAGTCGTGTGACATCCTAAATATGATTTTAACATACAATGATTTTAATATTTGGAAGGCAATATTACTCTAATAGATATTTTAGGATAATCGATACTTATTGTGAAATAGTTCGAGAGAATAAAAAACATTTTAACTCTACAATAAACTCTTTTTAAGTATACACGATGGTTGGTTGTTAACCACCATAATAAGAATATATGCGTTTGGTTGTTAATAGAGCTCCCCATTCTCTTCTATCTCATTTGAGTGATTTCTATGAATGCTATTGTAAAGCCGTGAGCAAAGCATTGGCCACCCAAACAAAGTGTTCATGATTTGTACATGTGAGAGTGTTTTTTTTTTTTGGGCCCAACGATTCGCTGAGAGTTGAGACAACATTTTAATTTCAATGTTGGAAAGTCCACAAAATTTAGGTTTTTTTTTTTTTGGGGCCAATCACTAAATTTAGGTATTGATAAGTAGTTCAGAGATATTTTTAGAATTATGAGTTGACCCAACTTTATCCAAAATACTCATATCTAATGTAATTTTAAAAAGTTGATGGGTATATTTATAAAATAAATAAATTGTATGAAAAGTGTTTGTTGTTATTTTAATAAAAAAATATACCAAGATTCAACATATCAAGGCGCTCCGAGTTAAATGATGAATCAAGGCTTCACATCAACCAAGTAGAGATTGTGAATCTTGTGCTTGTTGCATCGCAAGTGACACATGAAAGAGAAGAAATAAAAGAGTTCACCTGTGGAAGCAAGAGGTCTGTTTGGGGTGTGACGCGCACAAAAACGAAGATCTCGAGCGTACGGCGACGTTTCTTGTATTTATTTTTTTAGTGATAGGGTCCCACAATTCCAACCACTCCTCTATGAGGATTGTGTTGGACTATTATACGGATAAGACCACACTAACGGCGTGGGGACGGCAAATCACAAAGCGACGCCCATCTTAACGACTAAGGACAGGGCCCACGCCAGCTTGCCCACGTGTCTCCTTTGGAAACTCTGAGATAGTGTTCCTACTATTATATTTGCTCGGTCAAATAAAGATTTGGTCCCTTTTTTGATGACTCGCAGGTCCACCAATAACATGCACATTAATATTATAATAAATTTAATAGAAATAATAAATGAGATCAATCTTAATCATGCGAAGAAATTAAACTAAGATAAAATGTATCAGATTATAATTATCCATCTTTATAACTCTTCTATGCAACCACATGTACACTAACATGTGATAGATGTTATTCATCCATGTCTTTTGCTATGAGTAGGCCAACAGCCCAACAATAGCCTAATCAACAATCTTAAGTGGCCACATAAAATTATACAACAAGTGAGTTGCATTATTTGGTTACTGCACAATTCTTGTATATACAACAAGTTGGTTGCATTATTTGGTTAGAACACAATTCTTGTACAACATTACT